AAGGGAGTTTATCCTGGGTGGGCTTGATATAGTCAAATTTTTTAAACATTTGGGGTTTTTCCTTGTTAAAAAGATTTGTTTTTAGAGTGCTCTGACGTGTGGGAGAGCCTCCTCTTGCCTCTATTTAGGAACACTGAAATTCTTGAGAGGGTCAATGAGAAGACCACATGAAAAGCCATGTGTGTAACCCCAGGAACTGTGTGCTCCACTGTTGACAGCAAGGAGGAAAGTGGGACCTCAAATTTCTGACTATAAGGAGCTCACCTCCACCAGCAACCAGGGGGCTAAGAGGAGGCCCCTAAGCTGCAGATGAGATTGTATCCCTAGCTGAGAAAGTGCTTTCAGCTGCAAAAGATTATCATGCCAAATTTCTGATGAGCAGAAACAGGGAAATTATATAAATGTGGTTTTTTTTAAAGCTTCCATGCACATTAACTTACCACCCAGCAACACACTGAATCCAGTCCCTCTCAGGGCTCTCACCTGCACACTGTAGGAGGCCATGAGGACAGCAAAGCTGCTGAGGTGGGTGCACTGGCAGGTGGTACTGGTGTCTCTGGCGCTCACCATCCTGCAGCCTTTAGTGGCCCAGTGGCCACCACATCCATTCTGGTCATGCTCCCAGTAGACACAAAGTATCTCCTGCCATGACTGACGCACTGACTGCAGGAACAGAGTATAGATATGACTTGGTTTTCTGGTGCTCCGAAATGTCAATTCAAAGCTGGTTTGCAAAGGATTTCCCTGGGGAGATGATGCATGCAGGAAAACTCCTTCACACCTTAAGGCTGAAGTGGGCAGCCAAGGGAAAGTCTCCTCCACAACCCCATCCCACCCATCAGGACTCACATGCTTGAAGACAAAGGTGACAGGGGAGTGGAGGTTTTGGGTGGCATTGCTGCTCATAAAGGCAGAGATGACATCTGAGAGCAGGACGGAGGAGACATTTCGTAGAAAACGCTTGTGTGTCTCATGCAGAACGTCCTGCTTCTCAGACTCCAGGGCCAGAGGGGCCTCTGTCAGCAACTTGCCCATCCCTGGGATGGAGACAAGGCCCAACACAGCAGGACCTGCAGGACAAAGCTAAGACTGATGTTGGGGTCCTCAAGAAAATCTCTTATATTCACAAGAATTCTTTCCTCATCATCACCCACAACTTCCCTTTAAACCTTAGTCTGTTTTTGTCACATATTTGTAACAGAGGGTATTTGTGCACTGTGAGGCTTCAGTGACTTCAGTCATTACCTGAGGAACCAGATTCTGACTCCACATCCCACTTCAGCATCATCTGCACCTGCTTCTGTCTTAAGATGACATTCCTGTCTCCTTGGTGCTGTACCATCA